CAATCGTTTGTTGATTAAAAAAAGCAAGTTATATAACTATATAAAATTTATCAAATTGTTATAATTATTTAAATAGATAAAACTTCTTCTCGACGCAATTTTCACGTATTCCAAGGTTTCAAATAGAATAAATAAGATATATATGCTAACAAATAAATCAATAACGAAAACGCTAATTAAAAACTCCGATATTCCAAGCACACAAAAGACATTCATAAAATATTTTATATAAACAAACGAAAATAAAAAATCATATGTGATCTGTATCAATCCTAATATAAGTGAATAAAAATCGTTTCAATAAAAGATATTCAAAATTTGAACTCTTCTTTTTAATTTTCAACACAACTTACAAATTATATGTATCATGATATTTACTTTTTATTTATAACTAGACTACGAATTTTTATGCATTATATTAAAAATTTGAAGAAGTATAAACACATATCATGCACGTAATACTTATATGAAAACATAAAATGTTGAAAGTAATATCTGTTATAATATATAAAATGAACATTTGTCTAAATTCTACTTTTTAAATTATTTTCAGAAGAATATGAATTTGCATAAAAACTTATAATCTATTTATAACTTAAATTGTATGCCCTTGATATTTCATAGATTATTATATTAATCATTACGTAATAATTCATGTATATCGTAGTCATGTAATCATCCCAATTACTTAAATTTCCTTGCTTTGAAACGGTTCCCTACATTTTAAGTTTAGTACGCTGCAAATGATATACGAGTTCCCACGATATTCAATCTATTGCAATATCGTAGTAGGAAATATGTACTTTACATTGTATTAATAATTTTAAATGATAATAACATGATAAAATCTACAACAAAGAATAATAAGAATTCAACAGAAAAATATTTTGGAATGTTGCACGTTTCGAACGTTCTAAAAAGTTTGTAATATCTTATCTTTATGTCAGATCAATCTAATCTTCCCAATGGGGAAATTGAAATTTACTCGAATATCTTATCTTACTGTGTCATTCCGTTATAAACAATTAAAAAATCATTATCCGATAAAAGCAGATAATTCTACTTTTCCTATTATCAACGAATAAGTAAAAAAATTGACATAAACCACAATAACATGTGTCCAATTTGATCATGTGATTACTGTAGATAAGTATTATACGACTTTGTTTATTTTATAAAAAATACATATAATAACGTGTGAATCATATTCGCCAAAATACAATATAATGGCAGATCCAGAGTATGCACCAATTGTGCATATAGATAGAATAATTGAAAAGAAATATTTGATGTATACGAAGAAAATATAAGTTATTTCAGTTGTCATATATCACACTTCTATCTACTAATGAATCACCGTTTGGACGAATCTCTTATATATATATAAGTAAGCAAGTAAATATCACGTAATTACTTATTAGGTACATGTTAAAAATTCTAGCTTTGTAAAATAATACGCAAAAGTAAAAAGAAATTGTTAAATTTTTTATAAAAATTTCATTTTTATTGGCGTACCAATATTTTAGTAAATATGAATTTATAATTCATATCAGAATGAAAATACTGACATTACTTTAGGTTTCATAAAGCTTAACTATTTAATTAGTGTATTTGGAATTTACTAAAAATTGGAATGAAAATTTTAATATTTGTAAATGTTATAAATATTAAATATATGGAATTAGTTCAAATAACAAATAACCAAAATTTATGATCTTGAATTTAAGTTGTGCCAGTAAACTTCATTTGACAAAGCACTTGTTAATTCTATTGAAACATGTTTATGCAATCAAAACTCCGAAATCTGATCAAATCAAAGTTCTCGTTCGACTAATTTTTATCGATTTTCATCCTACACGAATTTTTAAACAAATAACAACAATTGTCGATTACGAAAATATTTGTTTTCGTTAATCGATATCGATACGTGAAGTACGTAAAAAGAAAACAAACTTTATGAATTCTTCCGATTAAGCAATTATTCTATATACAAGTACACATCTAGTTAAGTACCTACGCAGAGTTGCGTTGATTATGAAATTTATTTTAGTTACATATATATTATTTTAAAATATATCATTCTGTGTTTTTATGTGTTATCACTTTCATTTTTTTAATTTGAATTATCTTTCGGAAACATCACAAAGTTGCAAATAAAGCCAGTTTCAAGACTGTTTCATTTACAAAGAGAATATTACAACGTAGAAATTTCAATTTTTATAAAACTTTATATGAATATAGAGTGTATCAAAATATTTAAAAGATCCAGAAATCATAAATGATTTCATTTCTTCAACGTCAATTTTCATTAAAAATTAAATTACATGTTATCCATCTACTGATGCGTAGAAAGTAATTTCAAAGATTACAACGAAGCAAAATAACCGATTTTCTTCCGATAGTAAAATTCATAGTTCGTTCAGACGAAATATGAGAAATATTTAACGAAACTTTCGGAAAAATTATCATAATACACATATAGCAATGACATAAATATTTTTTGTAAGAAAGTATGAAGTAATTTATATAAAGAAACAGAAAATTAACATATTCTGATTAGAAAATAAAAATTACAATAAATGTTATATATAGCTAATCATGTTTTTAGATAAATAGAAAATGTAACTGTGAATCAAACAATTGTAAAATGTATATAATAAATTTTATATATATACACTATATGTGTATCTATATAATTAATGATGTAAAAAATTTAATTTTAGCTTTCAAAATTTATATTACCTCGAGTTTCCAGTGCTCAGTTTAATAGTAATATATTTCAACATAAACTGTACAAAAGTAGCCAATTAAGTTACACGTGTTATCCATCCGGTAATAATATCCAGTTTTATTACATTCGTGCGTCAAAAACATATTGTATTTCACAATTTCTTTTCCTTCTTGGTATTATTTTCTTCTTTTTCATTCGAAGTAATGAAACACATTGTATCCATACAAAAAAAGAATATCATAAACTTAATCACGAAATTGTACAAAAATTGCATGTGAAGTTCATGTATATCGTGACTAGTCTGTTTAAATAAATCACCAAACTGGCTAAAAATTAAAGAAAATTGTCATTGAACAATTTTACCAATCATGAATGATCATTTGTTTTAGGGATAGTTGATATGTTATCAACATGCGATAAATAAATGTATATATTTACTAACATGCAGAATAATAATTTCAAACTAATAAAATAAATTTAATAATAAAATAAATTTAATAATAAAATATTATCAATCCTGAATTTGGTATCTCTTACATGTATGTATGTACATCTCTTTCTAAGATATTTCTAGTTAACCAAAATTTCATCTGTCTTTTTACGAAAGGAAAATGATCTAGAAAGAATATAATACAAACTTGTCACCTTTAAGCTGACCTACTGAACCGCGATAATCGTTTATATTTAAAGCCTGTATAACGTTGTAGATATGCAACGTCCTCTAGAATATTGTGCCAATCATATCCTGACCCCTTATTACAAGCGAATATACGCTCATACTTGTGATTATATAATGATTTAGAACAAGCTTCGTGTGGGGTTCCCAACTGAGAGGGAAGTGATTGAATAACGGATTTCCTTTGATTGTAGAACGGTATATACAAATAATATAATAGATAACGTTCACAACGTCTGTATTAGCAATTTGACATTGAATAATTATATTGCCACAACTAATTCCCACACTATCCCCTGATACCGTAACTTATAATCAGTCATCTTTTTCATTCTTATCAAGAAAAAACTACAACTTCGATTGTTCGATCATTTTAGGATACAAATGAATGAACTGCACTGTAATCTTCGTTATGTATATTTCGTTACTTCTCGTAGTTTTTTCTGAATACATTTTTTAATAATGCACTTATCGTAACTATTATTATCGAGAAAATAGCAGTTTATTCATAAGTAGTGATTCTAATAAAAACAATATTTATATAATAATGGTATATAAAAAAAGAAACTGAGATCTATATATGTTTAATTAATGCTATGTAAATGTGCTCTTTCATTGGTGTAGATAAATGCATTGTATTATATATTGGCATTAATTTTAATTTGTAATACATCTTCTACGAGGAACAAAGTCACACATACACATTATACGTACATAGAGATTAAATTAAAAGCATTGTAAGCTGAATAATAAGAAATAATTATTACAATTATAACATATATATCTTAGCATAATAAGTAGAATGTATTCCACAAATATTCACAGTCTTTAGAAATATAGTAAGTTCTCGGTATGGATAGACTAGAAAATTTGAGAATGTTATAATCTTTGAATAATCTTAATCGCGTTTGAATTGAGAAATTTTTTTCTTTTTGTAAAACTATATAATGAAAAATGTATATAACTTATTTTTATAAAAATTTTTTATTAACTGATTATTAAATGATCTTTTTGTAATGGTGTTGTAATAATGTTTCTAACGTTTAACAACACATATATTCCTTTACATTAAAATAATATTTAAAGAAAATGGTTTAAAAACTGAAATAAAAATAGAAATTTAAAAAATTTGAATTAAGTTGAATTTTTGAGTAATAAAAAGTACTATATTCATTTATAAAATAAATTGCATATAATGTTAAAATCATGATACAAATATCTATTTGAGCAAAAACTTCATAATTATGCATATTTGTATTTTATTTTATTAATGTTAAATTCATTCTAATTGGACAAAACATTGTCACATCACAATTTAAAATTTATTCAACAATTCAATTTAAGACTAGTAAAACAGTTTTTGTAATATGACAAATTGAAACAAAATTTATATTATTTATAAATATTTGTGATAATTGATGTACTAAATCAATGTACAGAAATAAATGTTTCTTTTTGTTTCCTTTTTTTAATAAAATATTTTATATAACTTTACTTTTTATACAAAATAAAAACCAATAAAAATGTTTATTAATCTAATCTATTGTTTATCTATATTTAAGGAATGTAAGGTTAGCAAATTAGATTAAAAAATATTGTTAAAAGTTTATCTATTTGATTCTATGTCATCCATAAATTTTGTTTTCACTGTATGCATATGTGCAGATGGTGAACCACTGAATTAAAACTTTATAATATATTACTTGGACTAAGATTACTGGAAGACATAAATATATAACTGCACATTGAATTATGAAAAAAAAAAACAATTTACATCTTGTCCTTAGATTAAAAACTGTTCATCATAAAAGTAAATACATACATTGATTTTAAATACAATCATGAAAATTTCCTACCTTGTGGCCATATTTTACCAAACAGAGGGAAATATTTTTTTAAAGAATTTAATACTTTATTGAGGATTAGCATGTTTTATGCTGTTCGCTGTATGATATGAATACCACTATCTGTGTGAACTGGTGATGATAATTCACCAACTTTGAGGGCAAATGCTGCTTGCTCAAAAGGTTTTTGCATTGTACCTCGACTAAATGGTCCCAAGTCTCCACCTCGCTTAGCTGAACTACAATCACTATACTTTGAAGCAAGATCAGCAAATGTGGCTTTTCCAGATACAATCTGTTCTCTGTAAGCTGGGTTCATAAACAAAATTATAAAAGCATATAACAAAGATCATTGCTAGTAAAATTACAAGTAAGATGATTGATGTCCTACATTTTATAAGTTCAAGAGCTTCTTCTTTTGATCTTGTGATATTTTCTTCTCGCCATGAAGATGGTCGTCTAGAACCTGAATGTTTTACTAACAAATGGGAACATTGAACTTCTTCTGGACCATCTCCTTTGTTATTTCCAGATGGATCAGCTGGTTTATCTGGCCTATCCCATTGACTTTCTTTAGTATAAACATTTAAATAATAATGTTGTCCTATAAAAAGATGTACTAATCAATATAACATCATGGATTTTCTAAATATGTATATCACATGTATTATATTAATACACTGTTTTACATTATCATAAAATATTTACTAAAAATGTAAATATCTTAAAATACAAATATTATTATACATATCGTATCTATCTTATAACGCTAACGAATAAAAGCTATCCAATTCGTAATATCTTTCAAATTGTATAGTTATTTAAAACTTTTGACGTAATAAAACTATATATTTTTCAAAGTAACGTTATGTTAATTTCACGAATGATTACAATATTATCAAAATAAATGAAACAACATATACATTTATTAAATTTGTGTAATTTATTAGCAACTGTGGTAAAAATAACAAAATTCTAGCAAGAATAACACAAGTTAACAACCGGAAAAATGCCGGCCGTATGTCTCATACTAAAGCCGACACTATAAAATACAAAAATTTTTACAAAAAAATGACGATGAAATAAATAAGTAATTATGTTAAAGTATCTTTTAGATCATTCCTCGATTATTAAATAAATTGACATACCAGTGGATCTACTTAAACGTTTTTCCCAACCCGCTGGTAATTCTTCGTCCGCCATTGTTATCCAATATTTTTTTACTTGTCTCACGTCAAACACAGCGAACACGTTTTTACTATATCTAGTTACATACCAGTGTAATCAGTTTAAGTAACTTCATCTAGTAAAATTACTAACTTTCCCTAAGGAACTTGAAGAACAATACATATATGATATAAATCCCATATGAACTTATTGTTAGAAAAGTTCATTCTAACAATTTGTAAATTAGCATACTAATATTTTTATAACAAAAATAAATGATAAATAAAAATTTTGTTATAATTTACATACTATCGTTATCGACATAACATGGTTGCCATGACGGCAAATTACAAATTCTTCTATATGTTAAATCTTTGAAACATGCGTCGAATTATCTTTCAGGGAATTATTTGAAAGAAGAATCAAAGTTAGATATGGCTATGAACAATAACATTGACGCAGTTTTGACTGAATTAGGATGGAATGATGGATTTCGCATACCGGTAGCAAATGAAGAAAACAAACGATTAGAAGAAGAAGTAATACAATCATTTATGCTGCACTATTTCACTCTTTTGCACATATATATATATTCTTTTTCAAGTATGTGTTGCACGTTTTAGTTTTAGGCACAGTAAATTTTTACACAGTAGTATGAACAAATTAAATTTATAGAAATAAATAATAGTAATAACTTAATATTGCTCAATTTATAATTGTCCATTTCTTTTTATACTTACTTTATTCAATTTTTATGATATTCACACACAATTTTATATTGAAAGATTGAAAGGAAAATGAAATTAAAAGAAAATTTAACCACGAAATTCGAATCAACGGAGGAACGAATTAAAATGATGAAAAAACATATTAACAATTTAATAACAGAGCAAGATATGAATCAAAAACTTTTAACCACTCATTCTGTGCAACTTAAAACTGAAGATCATCATTACCGATTGAGTTGTCAGACCGAATCAAGTCTTTACCAAGAGGCGCGAAATTTTCAAAAAGAATGGCAAGAAGTAAATGAGATGGTAGCAAACATTGAAAGAGAATTACAGAAAATAACAAAGAAAATAGAAACATCAAAAAATACATTAAAATATGATGAAAAGAATTTACGAGAAATGGAGGAGATATTAAATGAAAATGAAAATAATAATGAATTAATAGAGCAATACATGAAAGAAGATCTGAAGGAATATAAGGTAAAAAAAAAGAAGTAAATAAATTTAAGAATAAAGTACATATTAAATGTGTAATATAATTACAAAAGTTTTGTCTTATTTATTTGTTTTTTCAATAACTTAGGAACTAGAATTAAAAAGACAGAAACTTAGTATTGAATTACAAACATACCGTGATTCAATTATTAAAACAACTAACGAAGCACGAGAAATGGAGATTATACTTAGTCGAACATCTGCATTATATAATCAATCATTGATAGAATATCGACAAATATTTAATCAGTGGAAAGAAAGTGTAATCATGTTACAGCAAAAAAATGACGATATCAAAAAGATCATTCAAGTATAACTGCACTATATTCAACTTTTATTATATTTTTTATTATATTATATTAATTGCTTTGAAGTTTTACTAATATCTAAATATTTTTTTATTATATTTGTTAGCTTTTATTAAATTTTGATTTTATTAAGTAAATTAAGTAAATTAAATAAAATAGTAAATTATTTAACAAGGAAACAGAAGTATTACACGAAATTTCTGAAGATAAGAAGAAAGTACTTCAAGAATCAGAAAAATTCTTAATCGAACAAATTGAGAATAATAAACAAGTTCAAAACTCAATTAAGCAATTAGAAAAAGAGCTTACTGCGATGAAGGAAGAACAGGGTAATTTAAAGGAAATGATTAATGCATACGAAAATCAAGTAAGAATACAAATAAAAATACTTTTAAAATCATTTTCCTTAAAATCTCCTCTTTCCCAAAATTTTAGCTTGTTATACAAAAAAATATCGTAAAAGAATTGACTCAACGTGTACAACAAGTAAGAACTGATATAAACCATAAAAAGTCACAAATACAAATTAAAAATGCAAAAATAGAAAAAACAGATAAACAAGTAGCAGATTTAATTGTAAAATTACAAGACATCACCAATCAGAAAGTAGATATTGAAGAAAAGGCAAAGGAATTGGAGGAAATGATAGAGGTATTTATTATTAAATAATGATTATTAAATAAAATAAAATAATATATTAAAATAAAACAGGAACAAGAGAAAAAGAAATCCAAAATGATTAAAGAAATAAATCGATTACAAATGGCGAATTTACGTGTAATGAACCAAATGAAAAACTTAGAAAATGAGAGTAAAATTTTGAAAATGCAGTATGAAAAAGAATCTAAAAAATGTGAATATTTAGACAAATTATATGTTAAAGAAGAACAAATTTCGGAAAATAAAAAGGAAACATGGTATCAAGCTGAATTTGAAGTTCGAAAATATGAGATGAAATTGAATAGATTAAGAGGACTTGAATATGATAAATCTGAACTCGAAAAAAAACAAAAAAAGATCGAAGAACTTCAAAGTGTATTAGATGAAAAAATGAAAGTGTCCAAATTATTACAGAAACAGATTACCGCTTTAGAAGTAAGTTTAAAAATTACTTAAATTAAATAGTACACTGACATTATTTTTTTATTATATAGGATAATATGAGGAAAATATCAAATAGTTTAGCACATGATAACGATGAATTAGAATATTTACAAAATAAAAAGCAAGATCTTGTTCTCATTATGAATGCAGGAGAAAAAAGATTAAAAGCTGCTCAAAATCGTTATGAAGAGAAACAAGTAGAAGAAAGTATGCTACGACTTAAAGTATCTCAAATGGAGAAAATAATATCAAATATAGGAGAAAATGTTTATGATTTAGAAAGATATAGACTTGAATTAGAAGCAGTACGTTTTTCATAGGATAATAATTATAGTATTACTAAAAATATTAAATAATTTACAACTTAAAGTATTAAATTAAAATCTAAAATTTTGATAAAATCACTTAGGCAATGCGGGAACGAAAAGCAGAAATTATTGTACAAAAGGAATCTCTAATCGTACAAAAAAGAATTGCAGATAGTGAATGTTCAGAATTAAAAAGTGCTATTGCTGAGAGAAATATAAGAATAAAACAATTACAAGCAAGATATGGCAATTGTATAGCATTATTGGGTACTAATCCTGATGGAACTCCAATAGGTACTACTCATATGAAGATTCAATGTGCACAAGAAAGATATCTTTTACAAGAGCAAGGCGATAAATTAGATGAAACAATAAGAAAAACTGAAGATGAAATACAAGCCATGGAAAATACATTACGAGTAATAAATGTCTGTAATGACAAATACAAAGTAACTTTAACTGCAGATGACCAAAATAAATTAGAAATAGAAGAATATAGAAAATTAGACGAAGAACTACAACATGCAGAACAAAATTTAAAGCAGAAAAAGGAAGAATTACAGTGTTTAACTGAAAATATGCAGGTATTCTATAATATATTTAATTTAACATGAAATTAAAAAATAAGAAATATATTAAATTGTAAAATGATTTCAATAGAAGATACAAAAAGACTATGCGAAAATTCTTGAAGATATTGAAGAAACTCAAGAATGCAAAGAAAATAAAAAACAATATTTAACTGATTTGAAACATCAAATTCACGAACAAAAAGAAAAAATAACAAGAGCTGATAAAAATTTACAAAATGCCAAAAAAGGTGTTCATCGACTGTATGAAACTACAGGAGACAAAACTGTACTGATACAACAGGTTTGTGAATTGTCTAATGTTTTATGGTATTATAACATATGTTTTATAACTTATCTTAATTTATCTGTATTCACTAGAAAGAAATAGAACTTCGTGAATTGCAAGAACAAAATTCCATTGCTTTGCAAGATATTGCAGAATTTACAGTTCAGCATGTAGAAGTTGAATCTTATATTAAAAAGTTATTAATAGCTCAAAATATAGAATTACCATCTACAACTTTGCTTAGTCAATCACCAGGAACCAATCGATCTTATAGTAATACAAATTCATCAGAATGTTTACCAAAAAGTACAAATAGAGAAAGTTATGGATCATCTAAGGGAAGTATTGGGCATGTTGTCAATATAGAACCAGAATTTGAAAGTAAGTTTTTAAGAATATAAATATATAGTAATAATAAACATTTATCAGTCATCAAATTGTTATGTTTCAGTTTTTCCAATACAAAATGTATCAAGAAGCAATATAAAACAAAAGCAATTATCTACAAAAGCTTCCGTACAAGCACAATCAATGAAGAAAACTTTTTAATATAATTCTTTAAACTGTATAATAACAATATTAGTGTTTTTTTATTATATTCATTTACATTAAGCAGAAATAGTATGTAAAAATAAAAATAATTAATAATTTAAACAATAAAAAATAATTAATATATTAATGAAAAAACTTACTTATATTACCAAAAATATAATTTTCATATAAAATTTAACATAAATTACAAGACCAATTGTAATTGTTTTAAGGTTACATTATTGTCTAATTAAAATTATACATAGACAATTCGCAATATAGATTCAACATATATATATATATATATATATATACATACACATGTGAATATTTTGTAAACTAATCAATTTATTTAATAACGTACAACTGATAGTCGCAAGTTTCATAACTATTCAAAGTCCGTTGGAAATCACATATTGAACGTAATTTTTCGTGTTATAAGGTATGTTACTCGAAATAATATTTGTTTTATATCTTAAATATGTCACTAAATTAAAGAATAATTAAAAAAGATTAATGAATTTAATAAAATTAATTTTTCTTTTTTCTTTTATATCCAAAATAAGATGAAATTTTAAATATACCGAATGATTTCAGTTTTCTATTAACTCTATCTAACCCTATTTATGTTCATAAAACATATATTTAAAAATGTAAAGATTTAATTAATTTTAATGTTGAAAAATATTTTTAGATGTCAGATATTATTGAAGTTTCTAGCAACAAAATTTTTGGTGGATGGCAAAAGGTTTATTCGCATGAGAGGTACTGCACAATTTTATTTTTTTTATCAAAATTATTTAATAATATTCAATATTACCTACAATAATATTTTATAATATAGCTATGAACTAGGATGTAGAATGAATTTCGGAATTTTTCTTCCATCACAAGCGGAAGAAAGTCCTGTACCAGTTATTTATTGGTTATCTGGCTTAACATGTACAGAAACTAATTTTGTACAGAAAGCAGGTGCACAAAAATATGCTTCTGAACAAGGGGTAGTTTTAGTTGCACCTGATACTAGTCCTCGCAATCTTAATATACCTGAAGAAGATAAAGACTGGGACTTTGGAACTGGTGCTGGTTTTTATATTGATGCAACAACTGAACCATGGAAAAGGAATTACAGAATGTATAGTTATGTAACTAAGGAACTACCAGCTTTAATTAATGATAAATTTCCCATTTTATCAGATAAACAATCCATAATGGGTCATAGGTAGACAGTAAATCAAAGCTTGGTTATTTAATAATTTGATCAAATTATTATTTTTAATTATAGAATTTTTTCATTGAATCTTATTTCAAATTTTATAGTATGGGCGGACATGGAGCCTTAATATGTGCTTTAAAAAATCCTGGCTTATATAAAACAGTATCTGCTTTCGCACCTATAAGTAATCCAATTTCATCTCCATGGGGGAGAAAAGCTCTCTCTGGTTATCTGGGTGGAACAGAAACTAATGCTCTATGGAAAGATTGGGATGCCACAGAATTGGCTAAAAAATACAATGGACCTCCTTTGGATATATTAGTTGACCAGGTATATTATTAACTGAGATAAAATCTTACAATAAATATATAAATAAATCTATAATTTTAGGGAAAAGAAGATAGGTTTTTGAAAGATGGGCAATTACTACCAGAAAATTTACTATCAGCTGCAAAAGATGCTGGATTACCTTTAGTTCTTAGATTTCAAGAAGGTTATGATCATAGTTATTTTTTTATATCTACGTTCATAGAAGATCACATTAAGCATCATGTAAAATATCTTAAATCTTAATTCAATTTATGTACTTATTTCTTCGTAATGTTTTTAATATCGAAAAATAAAATGTTACTATAATAATGATAATAATAACAGCACAAAATATAATATCTATAATATAATTTAAAGAAAAACATTTTAATTTGATATATTATGCAAGTAAAAATAATTTCTTATTGTTGTGCTATATGTGAGAAGTGTCACGAAACTGGACGAGTTTCGATAAGAGTCCGAAAATTCGATCCAGATGTTTCTATATTGTTCAGGATGCCGTAACTTTAATTAGGATATAAAGAAACGTCTAATTTTGTATTGATTCGGCATTTAACTATTGTGGTCGATTCGAAACGAATCTCAATATCTTAACTGTATCATACTGTAATTTTTCCGATCCATACTAAACTTGTACATCCTGAATTATATGTGCTTTTCCTTACTATCAAATTTTTCATGACTTTTTTCATTAATTATAAAACATAAATAAGGCTTTCTCTTTCATATAATTCCACTTCTTATAACTTTCACAATTTTTCATAATATTACAAATATACAAAGTATATTAGTATCAATTTCATAACAAAGAGGTTATTTACAACTATTTAGACTTAGATGGTTCACGGATTTGATGCCAAAATACTAATACTGGTTCACGTTTTTGCCATATATTGGCACTACCCCACATTTGCCAAAATCTATAATAAACAGTAAATAATAAAACAGCAATAAAAATACATAAATTTTTACATGTTTTATACGTAAGTACTTACATTCCAAATAATACTCCTCCCAAATGTGCTGCATGGTCAAAACGTTGCCAGCGCATAAGACATCCCAAGGTATCTAAACCCATTATAGCTTTCATAACCTGATTATATAAACATTTTTAGTAAAAAATATAGAATTACATATAAAACTTTAATTTTATATAGTTAAAATGATGTTATACATACTATACTTGCTGTAAATTTTAACATTGGAAGAAAAACAATAGACAGATGTGCATTTGGAAATTGAGTACACACAAATCCGAAGACACCCATTATTGCTCCTGACTATGTTCGAATTATTGTTATATTTCAAATTATATTTACATTAACATTTTATATTACAAATATAAATTCTATTGAATACTCACAGCTCCCAAAGAAGGATCTTTTATACCAACTGCAGCTTTGTATAAATGACTTGAGAAACTAGATATTACTCCACTAGTTAAATAGAGTGTCAAAAATTGTTCTCTACCCAATTCAGCCACAGCAACTTTAGAGAAGCCATATAATACATACATGTTGATAATTAGATGAACAAGGGAACAATGAGAAAATGTTCCAAACACCATTGGCCAACATCTATCTTATATTAGAAATATAGAATTTGTTACTCTTATATATATATATTAATATTTTTAAATATGTTTTACAAATATTTTACTCACTACTTGTAGGAGTACATGAGAAATATCGATACATTGTTAGTCGAAATGCTGGAATATGCCATGATAAAAATACTAGTACATTTAAGAAACATATGGGAACAAATATTTTTTCTCCTTCTGATAAGTTCTTCCACCAATTTTCCATTGTATGTCTCCATCCTGTCCGCTAAATAAAAATAATATGTAATTAATAAAATATTTTAAATTACATATGAGTTTCAATATACAAACATGTATTCCCCATTGCTGATAACTTCTGATTATCCTATAGGTTTTATCTCTGATACATTCATATTCCCAAATTGCAGCCGCAATAAATGTCGTTGCACTAAACTGAATTAAACATAAACAGACTTATGATACTAAAATAATATATTCTGTTTAAATATAACAAAATAAAAACAGAATTAAAATCTGATATTTTTACAATCTCTTACTATGATAGTAAAGGTAAATGGTTTCCATAAATTGGAAAAATGTGCAGATTGTGTTTGAAAAAATTCATTTGGTAGCTGTGATTTTGATAGTTTTACTTTGCCTCGAAATTTATGAAAATTTCTGACTTTATATCCTTCAAGTACATATAATTTAGGTTTAAACGTTATAGCAGTGAAAACACTGAAAAAGATACATAAACATAGTTAGGTACTTTGAAATTAATAGATATAAAAATTTGATACAGAAAGACTTGTCTTACCATTTATACGCATTGTCACCTATATGCAAAAATGACCTAAGTGCCATGTTATACCCCAAGAATAGTAAAAATATATTACCAAATGTACACTGATTCTATCAGCACATCAATCACATAAAATTATGATTAAATGTTATTCATTATTATCATTAATTATTATATAATTAACATTTTATTCACTTTTTATAAAAGTCACTTATGTCAAGTTTTTCTCATAGTTTTAATACTGAACGAATAATTTTTTTCATGCAGCCACTTTTTCAATTATGTGACCAAGATTATGCCTTTTCACTGTAAACATACAATTGCAAATTATTTCAATAATTTTACGAAAGTTTATCACGAACCAAATGTTGTAGTAGCTGATGCATGAATTCATAGTTCTTTCAAATGCGGATATTAATAATACATTAAATATATATACATGCGTTGTTATAATTATAAAATGATGTAAAATTATACTTACAATTGCAACCGTTTTATTTATTGTTATAATAATCATATTATCAAATGCATACGTAAAAATTTTACATTGAAAACATATTAATGCTGGTATCACAAGTATGTCTTATTTATATTTGTGCTATATTTGTAACAGCTCACGAATTAGGAAGACTGAAGAAAAGATGATGCGTTTTAACAAAAGAAAAAATAAATTATTTTTTTCTCTCCTTGTGTTATATTTTTGTTACGCGTTCATTTAACTTTTATTAATAAAAATTTGTATTTGAGTTTAACTGAGTTTACAAATTCTGCCAGCCAATCAGAAAGCCAGATAGTCTCCAATCATCGAAGATTTTTACATGCGGGGACTTTATACGAAACAGTTTGATTTCAAATACATAACGAAAACGGTTAGTCTTAAGTTAACAGTCGTTTGATATTCTTGATTTGTATTCGTTACTGTTTAACAGGACGAATAAGCGCAAAGGTAATTAATTGTTATTCTTGCCAAATTTTTGATTAGAGTTAAATGTTAAAAATTCAAAGCATCCTAATATTTCGTCGTTTAATTCTAATACTTAAAGTTCAATAAAATAGCGAAAACAGAACCGTACATTAAGTTTCAAGGCATCGTTATAAAGAGGAGACTTCAATCTTCAGGATCATAGTGAATTAGCCATGAAAGAAATTTTCCAGTGATTTTAAAGATATCTAAAATATTGATTTTCATAATTTTCTTAATTTTCAATTTACTTACCCAGTCATTATATGATACAAAAACATCGTTTTTATAATACTACGTTTTTTATACATAATACTGAAAAGACTGCTGCTAAAAATATTATTAAATCCTAAATCCTCCTAAGATAAATAAAAATATACACCAAGAATTAAAAGTTACAGAAATTTGTAATTAAAATGTTAGTAAATTTAAAAAAAAGTATGTATTTTTGAAAATGCAACATATTTTTAATTGCAGATGAGTGAAGATTCAGTTAAAGTTGCTGTTCGCATTCGTCCATTAGTAAGGACTGAGATTGAACGAGGTTGTCAAACGTGCTTAGATGTTATTCCTGGTGAATCACAAATAGTTATATGTAACACAACTAAGTCTTTTACATTTAATTACGTATTTTCTCCTGATGTTAGTCAAGAGGAGTTTTATAATACTGCTGTTAAAAACATGGTGAAAAATATCTTTCAAGGTAAAGTTAAAATATATAATTTATAAAATTTTGTAATTGTAGTTATGTCTTGTTATAACAAGTAAAATACTATATATATACACCATTTCTGTACAGGCTACAATGTTACTATATTAGCTTATGGACAAACTGGAAGTGGTAAAACCCATTCAATGGGTACAAATTATGTTGAAGCAGAAAATATGGGTGTTATACCTCGAGCAGTAAATGATATATTTGATATGATTTTATCAAAAGAAGATTGGAACTTCAAAGTTACAGTTTCATTTATGGAACTTTATCAAGAGCAATTGTATGATTTGTTGACTGACAAGCAACGAAATCAATCTATTGTTGATATCAGAGATGATGGTAAAAACATAAAAATTGCTGGGCTTGTTGAAAAAGAAGTCAAAAATGCAACAGAGACATTAGATTGCTTAACACAAGGCTCAATAGGACGTGCTACTGGTGCTACTGCAATGAATGCACAAAGTAGCCGAAGTCACGCAATATTCACTTTATGCATTTATCAACATAAAAAGGATGATCTGTAAGCAATATGAAAATTATAAAATAATATTTAAATTTATTTATGATATATTTTAATATTTTATTATTTTTTATTAATGTAATTTAGTAATACAGCAACAACAGCGAAGTTTCATTTAGTAGATTTAGCTGGGTCTGAACGTAGTAAGAAAACTCAAGCAACTGGTGAAAGATTTAAAGAAGGAGTTAATATAAATAAAGGTTTATTAGCATTGGGAAATGTTATATCTCAGTTAGGAGAGGGTGACCCTACAGCATATGTTGGTTATAGAGATAGTAAACTTACAAGATTGTTGCAAGATTCTCTTGGTGGTAATTCCATAACGCTAATGATAGCATGTGTTAGTCCAGCAGGTTACTATTGTCAAAATTTATGATATTTAATTGTAGTATTTAATACTAACGTTCTAGGTAATTTGTCTTTTTTTAAAATTTTTACAGATTATAATTTAGATGAAACTTTAAGTACATTAAGATATGCAGACAGAGCATGTAAAATAAAAAATAAACCTGTAGTAAATCAAGATCCAAAGATTTCAGAAATAAATCGGTTAAATAAATTAGTACAAGAATTAAAACTTGCTTTAGTAGATCAGGAAATTAAAGTTTCTTGTCCATTGGAACATCAAGAACTGGCAGAAAAAAATCAATGCTTGCAAAAAAAAATAAGAGATTTAACAGAAAAATTCAATATTAATTTGATTGAAACTCTTGCCATGCATGAGAGAGCAGAACTAGCTGAACAAGCTAGAGAAAAAATTCAGATAAATATGATCGAAATATTAGAAGAATGTAAAAATCTTTTAGACGATTTTAATAAAAATCCTGACAAATATAATGAGCATTGCTCGAGATTAGAAGCTTTATATTTAAAAATTCTTGGTAAGTGATATACAAAAATTTTATTGATATAAAATTTAAAATTTTATTGAAGTAAAATACTTTCTTATTTATGGTAAACAGACATACAAAATGATCAAAAGAAAACATCTGAAGAACTTATAAATTATGAAATATCCTCTATTAATGCAAATACATTTACAATAAACCATGAAGAAGATTCAGGACAGACATCTATGGATGAAATATGTTCTCCAGATAGTTTAGACGATTTTCATGAAAAACAGGAAGAACATACTTTACTTCAAGTTAAAAGGAACAACGAAGTACAAAATATCAATAAAGAACTTGCTATTAAGGAGAGTCTTATATGTCAGCTTTTAAAAAACTCATCTCAAACGATGGATTATTCCAAAGAAATACAAGAAATGGAGCAGGAAATAAAAACACTTCAAACGGAGAAAGAGGAACTTTTGCAAGCTTTACAGAATATACAGGCAAATAATGTTAGCTCAAAGTAAGAAGCTTAATTAATATTTAGTTGTACAAAATATAATTTAATTTTATTCAATTATAACAGTTATTAGTTTAATATTATTTCTTTAGGTTTTTAAATTTATTTTTTCTGTTTTATAGATTAGCAGAAAATAGACGTAAAAAAGTACAAGAATTGGAAAAAAAAATAACGGAATTAAGGCGAAAAATAACAGAGCAAGATAAAATAGTTAAAATGAAAGAGAAACAAGATCAGCAAATAAAAAATTTATCAAATGAAATGCGCGTGTTAAAGCAAACAAGAGTGAAATTAATTAGGCAAATGCGTAATGAATCTGACAAATTTACAAAATGGAAGGGATCAAAGGAGAAAGAATTGAACAGGTTAAAAGATCAAAATAGAAAACAAGTGAACGAAGTGACACGTTTAAAAATGTGGCATAGTAAACAAGAAATTGTTTTCAAAAGAAAAATGGAAGAAGCTTTTGCTGTTAATAAAAGGCTGAAAGTAATGTATTAAGTGAGATTTTTATAGTAATGTCTTAATTAAGCAATAGTTAATTTTGTTTTTATTTTAATTTTTAGGAAGCTCTAGATTTGCAAAAGAGAGTAAAAAAAGAAAAGATAAATACCAATACTAATAAAATTCGAGATTGGTTAATTCAAGAAATAGAAGTATTAGTAAGCACTATTGATGCAGAATATTCTCTTGAAAAAATAATGCAGGATAGAGCATCACTAGTGTGCATGTTAGAAGAACTACAAAATAGTAATGATGTAAATGAGACAAAAATTGCTGAACTTAATGAATTTTTAGCTTTACGTAATGCGCAAATTACTGATCTTCAACAAAAAATTGTTGAATCTGATCAAGGTAAATATTTTATAATATATATATTTTATATTTTTCTAATATATTTTATAATATATATTAAATGATACATGTAAATCTAGTAAGTTTCATTTTACGCTTGTTAATTGTTGTATCTATTTATTTATTTAGAAAATAATGCACATACAAGATGGCAAAGAATACATACAATGGACGAAGCAAAAATTGCTCTTAAGCTATTATTAAAACATATTGCAGAAAATAGAAGAAAACAATGTGTAAAAGAATATGAGCATAATGAACTTCAAGTTTGTATATTTTTGTTATATTCTAGACTATTTATATATAAAATATAACCTCTTTATTTTCGATATCAACCATTTAATTAAAAATTAATATATTTGCAATAATAAATGTAATTTTAGGGAAAGTATGAACTATTGCAAGCACAATTAAATGAATACCATATTAGACAGAAAGAAAAACGTTTGTCAAAAAAACTTTCATTAAATGATACACATTCTATTAAAGAATATAAAAATGAAAATGAAAGTAAATTAAGAGAAGAGTTGGAGCTTTATAAACAAAAATGCCAAGAGTTGGAAGAAACAGTTAATATACATACTTTTATTATAGACAAAGTGAATTCTCAATGGAAGTATAAATTGTTTTGTAAATTTTTCAGCTTTCAGGTAAAATTCAAAATAAAGAAAACGTGAGACCAAAAAAAGTTAGGGAGTTCAAATCTAAAGATTTTGAATTGGTAACAGATGTTAGTAGCACTGAAGACGATAATGTCGAAAAAGATCCAGATTGGATACAAACACCACTTTACAATCGTATACAAAGTCTTTTGGTAATTGGCAAACCATTCATTTTCGTTATTTATATTCATTCAGTCTTAAATAACAATATAATTTTTATTTTTAGAATACAACAAAAACATTTGACCGCAAATCAGTGAAACGAACATCAAATGGAGATACGAAATGTAATTGCAAAACGAATTGTGTTACACGAATTTGTACTTGTCGTAAAAATAAAAGTTTATGTGGTAATAACTGTAAATGCGGCGTAAATAATTGTCAAAATAGAGATCAAAAAAATGTAAGCTTATTATTCGTTCTAATGATAATCATATTATAATCATGTATCATTATCATATAATTGTCTTCTATTTTTAGTTGAATCGTACATTATTTGTGGAACAAACGAAAAGCGAAGAAGAATGTGACGAATCTCTAAAAAAATTGAGGTATATTTAAATTATGTATAAATTAAAATATATTTTTTTAATTTCATTATATATCGTATGATCATATGTTATTAACTTTTCAATTTCTATTATTTAAATAGACTGAACAAATCATAATAATGCCAGATCATCAGCATTGTCGTTATCAATAGTATGAATCAATTTTTCTAAAAATGCAATTTTGTGATATTGGAAGAAAACAAATTCTATCACGTATTCGCAACAAGATTTTGTGAAGAGACAACTAGATTTTATAATGTCATTAATCTTATTTAACGTCAGTTATATAATTAATGTTGTACATTAACTGAATATTGTAAATCAGCTTAATATTGTAAATTATTTTAATATTGTGATTTTAATATCTGTATTGTAATTATTATTTTGATATCTGTGAATTAACTTAATATCTATAAATGTACTCAGATGTTAAAATAATAAAATTATTTAACTTTGTAGATATGTACATGTAATAAAATAAACTTTTTACCAAGTTTGCTTTTATATACGTTTATAAAACCCTAAAATATCACAAATCTAATTTGTAGTTAAAAATCTTTTATATACATATTAAATTTTATAATTTTATGTGGTAACTATAATGTGTAAGATAAAAGAAAAATTGAGACAAAAATAATTTTATAATATTTATATCTATTGATTGTTTTACTGTCCGCTTTAAAGATGGCGCTAAAATTGAAGCTCATATACGTTTCCGGTAAGAGAAGCTTGATCTTTTCTGGTTGTGCAGTTCAACGAGCAATATGGGTGAGTGTGTTTGATGTTAACATTAAGTTGTTTTTGGAAGTATAAAATTTAAATTGTTAAATATGTATTATTCTCATAGATTGTTCAGTTTGTTTTAATTATAATTTCGTTAAATATTCGTTGAGAAATTTTAAATTAACTAAGTGGAAATAAGGTTCATTGAACAAGGACACGTAACCTAACTCTTCGATTTTCAGGTAAACCTCGTGGTCTGCGTACCGCACGTAAACACGTAAACCATAGACGCGATCAGCGTTGGAATGATAAGGACTACAAGAAAGCTCATTTGGGAACGAGATGGAAGGCCAATCCATTCGGTGGTGCTTCTCATGCGAAGGGTATTGTCTTAGAAAAAGTGTATGTATATTTGTATCAATAATGTCCTATAAAAGAAATATATATCCATACAGATATTTTAATTAAACAATTGTATGTTTATAGTGGCGTAGAAGCTAAACAACCGAACTCCGCCATTCGTAAATGCGTACGAGTTCAATTAATCAAAAACGGCAAGAAAATCACCGCCTTCGTACCTAGGGATGGCTGTTTGAATAACATTGAGGAAAACGATGAAGTATTGGTTGCAGGCTTTGGTCGCAAAGGTCATGCTGTGGGTGACATTCCAGGAGTTCGATTCAAAGTAGTGAAAGTTGCTAATGTTTCATTGCTTGCACTTTACAAAGAAAAGAAAGAGCGACCTAGATCGTAAAACCACTTCCATGTATAATAAAATAAAATAAAAGTATAAAAAAAAAATTTTAATGAATTACTACTTTATTGATATCCATGAACATTTTTATTTTTATGAAAATACAAACTGAGAAATCAATGTTTTGAAAAGTTCCTAGTACAGAATTAAGTATCTATGCATATATTCGTAGCTTCTTCAGTGTGTGTAACAGTATTTCCAATAATTTCATTTAATGGAGTATTTAATTTCTTTATCTCTTTTGGTATATTGGCATTCAATATTTCTTCTTTTGCTTGTAAAAACTAAATATTGAATAATTGTAATTTATATAAATCAATGCTGCATCGTACCAAATATAAAAAAATATGTAAAAGTACAAAACCTGTATTAAAGAAGAAAAATTTGTATATATATTGTCAATATCAGCATCCATGGAATACGAGTTATTCTTTACACTTTCCATATTAAATTTTAACCATGAGTCGACAGATGAATATGCTTCCATAAAATTTTTTTTTTCTTCATTAAATAACGAATCTAGATTGTGATCATTAGCTTCCTTTTCATTCTTTTCTTTTTTTTCTTCATTAAATAACGACTCTAAATTGTGATCATTAGTTTCCTATAATTTATTTAATTTTGTATATTATTTTAAAACAAAAATATAAAATATATATACAACTGTATATAAAATATATAAGTGATACAATTAGCAAAGAAATGATTCTGAATGAAAAATAAACTGAAAAATTTGCTTTTTCCATCTCTAGTTCAGCTTTGAAAGAATCATTCTCTTTGTAGTTGTAACATTAGTTGTGGATTATCTTGTATACATTTTTAATGATATTACTTCTGAAACCTGTTCCATTACATGCTCTTCATTTTCAGATTTACAAATAGGTGATGATTCTTGATGTTTATTTAGATTACTTTGCAAATTTTCGAAATATTGCATAGATTCAAAATAACTTAATTTTGGTTCAATATTACACATGAATGTGTTTGGATCTTCATTGATATAGACCTAATATAAAATATGTTTATAAATAAACAAAATCATATATAAACATATATTTTTTAAATGTATTTGTTTACATACATTTAATATATCATCAATGGATTCTTTTTCATTACATTTAGTATCAGAAGATTTAAGGAATAAACACTTCATAAAATCTAATAATAATCTCAAAGTTGGAAGTTGTTCTTTCAATGGACAATTTCCCTGAAAAGAACAATTTAAATTTCTCTCTACGCAAATAACACAGAATAAAATTAAACAAATTACAAACCAATAATAATTTCTTGTCAGTACAAATCCCAATTTCAGAATAAGATCTTAATAGTTCTTCTGCAAAAAAAGAAAATATTTTCACAATCGGTATGTTAAATAAATTAAATATTACAAAAATGGAACCTTCTAAAGCGGCGCCTTTTAATTTTTGAAATTTGGAAGCTATCTGTGGAGACTTTTCGGTTAAAAGCCAAGACAATAATGAAAGTCGATTTTCTCCACTCAGAATTGTTATTTCTACGTTGTTTGCTACAACTGTTGTAATTTTTGGATATCTTATTTGTAATAAAGTATAATAAATATCAGTCATTAATTCCTCTGCATTACACATTGTTGAAAACAATATTCTAACCTTATATAAATAATGTTTAATCTTATATTTATTGTGATTTTTAATATAGTTCAATGTTTTAACACAACCTTTCGTTTTTTTAGAGATTAGATAATTAAACAACAGAAAAATATAAAAAATTATAAATAAAATAAATCAGTAAATCACTTGTTGAACTGTCCTAATCAATTTATATTCTCTATACGTATGTATACTTTCGTACCAATTTCAGTTATATACAATACTGTTATAAGACGAACAGTTTCTATATTTTATTTCGAAACGCCCAAGTATAATAAAAACATTTATGCATGTAACTTTTATTAATACTTAAAAAAATAAGAATTTTTCATTATAAAAAATTCTTTTCTTAGATTTTATTCAATTTGTTTATTTGTTGTATAAGTCTGTCAATATGAATTGTGTTTTAAATATAACTTAAATAGCTACATAAATTATTTTTAATTCATTATTAATTTTATGAAAAAAGAATTTATATTTTAATTTATTTGAGAAAGTACAGGAATTATAAAATATTTTTAGAAGATCGTGGGTCACTTTTTGCATATTGTAACACACAGTTAAAAGAAGTAAACAGTTAAAAAGAAGTAAAAAAAAGAAATCGATTTTAATACTTTTCTAAAATTCTTTCCACTTTATTGCCTCTGCCATGGCACGCTTTACACATTCATACTGTAAATTAAATTATTGTAATTGTCCAAATTTACATACTTATATGGAAATTATACATATCAATTAAATATATACAGATTAAACTAATAAGGCGGCGGCTGATGTTGATAGTGCTGCGGAGGTTGACTCAAGTGCCGTTGTAAATGTGTCACCAATTGCGGAGTTGGCTGTTGCCCACCAGCATTACCTTGTTGTTGTTGTTGCTGTTGCTGCGCTTGCTGCTGCTGCTGTGCCTGTTGTTGTTGCTGTTGCATTGCCAGCATTTGTTGTCTCATACGTTGTTGGTTTATTGTCTGTTGCTGATAATGCAAATGATTATATACAAATGTATACAGACAATTCCTTATAAAGTAATAAATTTACCTGTTGGAATTGTTGATTTTGTTGTAACCCAACGTTAGTAGTGCCTACTCCCGTTACACCAACCGTACCAGGTTTCCCACTAGTTTGCCGATACGGAGGCGCTGGTTGACTTTGAACTCCTCCTCCCATTGGACCCATTGTATTCATTGTGACATTTGGAGCCTGAAGAATATTGACAATAAGTTTTCAGTTTATTATAGTAAATACCTTTTCAATAGATATTTCACAATTATATTTTATCTACTTTTTTGTTAAGTAGTACCTGAAGGTATGGTGGCCTTGTAGCTCCAGGTTGCATACGTTGTTGTGGTATATATTCTTGCGCCCTTTGAGGTCCCATCATTTGTTGCTGATTAGTAAACATCATGTTTTGTTGTTGATTCATTAAACCTTGTTGCTGCTGCTGCTGCTGTAGCAACTGTTGTTGCTGTTGGGCTTGTTGAGGTGCCTGTTGTTGTTGCTGGGCTTGCTGTTGTTGCTGCGGTATCATTTGTTGGCCTCCATATCCTGCATAATTTTGATTCATTCCTGCTAACAAATATAATCATATTATTATATATTGTGCTTTTTAAGGTGTAATATACATAACAATAAAAAAAAACAGTAATATATAACTACCTTGTTGCATTCCAGTGTAAATTCCTTGTTGTTGTGGTTGTTGTTGCTGTTGTTGTGAAGCAAACATTCCTTGTTGTGGATTGATATTTGGAGCTCCATGTTGAGCTCTCAATTGATGTCTAATGAATTGTTGTCTTTGCATTCCTTGGAATGCTCCAGGGCCAGCAACAGGTGCGGCACTTGGTTGCTGCTGGGAACTTATTAACTGATTGGACGGTAGTCGCAAACGTAACATATGAGAAAGCGCTTGTTTTGACTGGTTGTTCATGCCTGGTCTATCGTATCTTGGCCCAACTGGAGTTGGTGGTAATTGCTGTCCATATGCATATTGCTGAGCTGGTGCGTGAGTTTGTTGATTAGTATACCAAGGTTGTTGATGCTGCGGTGGTTGATTAGTAAACATTCCAGGTTGTTGACTGACAGGTACTTGCTGATTTCCAAATGGCATTTGTTGTAGTTGACTTGGTGGTTGCTATTTAATATATCAAAGATATTAAAAACTGAAGAACAAATACTTTCAAAATCTAAGTAAAAGAAAAGAGACCTGAATTTGTTGTGAAACAGGTGTGGTAGGTGTAGTAGCTCCCTTATTCCTTCTATGTCTTCGTGTTTTCATAGCTTTCCCTTTACCATTAGTAATAGTATTACTGATTCCACTACTACCGACACTACCTGTTACTCTTCCAGGAGAATCGATACTCATTGGTGTATCAGCTTTACCAGGTTCCGATTCTTTTTTGTCTGGTTCTAAATCTTCTGGAGGTAACGGTGGTGGATCCAAATAATGGCTAGGAGGTCTAATTTGACTGTGTGTATGGTATCGTAAAAGCTTGTGGGCATTTTGATATGTCAGTGGTTTACGTTCCAATTTAACTGCTCTGAACCAAGCCCAGGAAATTGGTGCCGGATTTTTATGACCTTCTAATACTTCCCATGCAGATACCCTTTGAGAATCACATACTTGCAAACCCTAATTTAATATACATAGTTATTAGCTATTAGATTGTAATATTATACAATATAAGTATAAAGTATTTCAATTTACCTGTTTCTTATCAATACTATCAAAACCAGCTATTTTATTTCCTTTTGTATCCGTCAAACACCCAACTGGCTCACATGTAATTACTTCCATCGTTAATTTTGGTAGTGGTAACAATTGTCTGACATATCGAATACTAGGAGAATTTCTATCGCCAAGTTCTTTTTTCAATTTTTTCATTAAATTTTGATAATGTTTCTTATTTTCATCTTTCTCAGATTGCGAATCGGAAACTAAAGTAGAATGTATTAAGGTTGCTAACATATCTATGACAGTTGTAAACAATCCAGAATTATTATTTAAATCTATAACACCATAGCTAACCAGCTGAACCAACAAGATAGCCCAGTCTGTGGTAGCAGTAGTATTTCTTTGTATAGTATCAAAGACACCACCTACAAGACTAAATCGCAATTGCAATGCATCTTGCAACACCTCTCTCGTCTTAGGATCTTCGGTAACAAAATTCTTCTCCTCTTTACTAATGTTCAAGAACTGTGATAATTGCGAATGTAAAGACATCAGAAGGCCTTCTCTTTGATCGTCTTGACCTTTGAGGCAAGTTAGTACTAATGACAGGAACGGCTGATGATTAAACAGAGACGGTGATTTCGATCTACTTCTCTCGCGACCTGTTGCTGTTTTTGACCAATTACCAGATTCTAATACCTGGCCCGCTACTTTTAAAACTCGACCTTGCACTGCGCTTGGTAATTTTGAAACGAGCGGTGCAACTAACCATATCGATCCAGACCGTTTATCTGGTTTACTAGACATAGTATTCAACTGAAACACATCGATTGCAGCTTTGGCAACGGTGTCCAACCATTGTGAAAGATCGTTTGATCCGGGAGGAAATTGCTTGTACATTAGTTGCAGATCGAGCCACGACATTCTTAAACTCCATTGCTCCAGATTTTCCAAAATGTTTGTTATATGAGTCTTCTGGTCAATAAATGCATCTGTAGAAATCTCTGGATAGCAGATCATGTGAAGTAATCGTTGAGCTTGACGTGGTGTCAACATGTTATCGAGTAACATATCGGGATGACAAAGTTCCTCGGGGTTTTGTAAACATCTTTCTAAAACCCATTCTTGACTACAAATTTGTCTTAAGACGTGTTGCGCAAAGTCTGACAATCCTTTGACATTTTCTGTGGTCATTCCAGCACTGCTGCTAGATGAAGATATTGCTAAATCAAGTCCCAAATCATCACCACCTCCTAAAATATCACTGGTACCTAAGATATGGCTGATAGACAATTCGCTTGGGCCACCTGCAGTTACACCGACACCGACACCAACACTAGCTGGTCCTCCTGCTTTATTCGAATGATTTATTGGCACATCTGGTTTCTTTGGCGGTTGTTTACCAGCAGTTGCATCAGCGACGACTAGGATAGCTTTCAGTACAGCTAAAACCGGACCGACCCTGATGTTATTGTGAGCAGCTGCCAGCAAGTGTCTATCACAACTTAACTTTATACTGTAACCTCTGGAATTTCCATTTGGTAGAGGATGAGGACTTGTGCTCACGGAATAAAGTGCTGGTTGGGGACATTCAACAGTTTTAAAAAGTCGTAGAAGCAAATGACAAGTTAAACGTGCTCCAGCTTCTGCTTCCATATCTGCGTCTCCGCGACCCTCATTACAAGCTTTAACTAAAGATGGTAATGCTATATGCACAACAAAATCCTCCAATGAGAAGCAGTGTCTTGCTATAAATAGAGAATATTATTTTAGTACTTTTATTATACTTTTACAAATAAAATAATATATAAAAATCACGTAGAAAATTTACCAATTAAAATTGACGTAAATACGGCCAGAGAATTATGTATGCTTAAGTCTTGTACATCAACTTGATTTAGCACATCAATGTAAAAGGCAGAGCTATTAGAAGAACAGCAAAGTGCCATAAGGACTCCGAGCCATTCGGCGTTAAGTGCATTACAACAAGCTGTTAATTCCGCGCATGTTATCGCAATATCATTTAATTTGTCGTTATCTGTTTCGCTACAAACTGCAACTATTGCATTGCAAACAAAACTATAACGATTCGCCGGTGTCTCGTTTAACTGTCTGGCCCACTGCGGTTCGATTTTCCCACCGCGTCTTGGACTAGTAAAAACGTCCACCATAAATTGTGAATTGTACACATGGCTTGATGTTGTTGGTTGCAATGTACTATAAAGAGCCGTTCGGATTTTAGGATAAGCATTGCTAAATGCTTCTACTCCATGTGGTTTTGTTTTCAATAACGAACAAGACGAATATAAATCATAAAGATGCGCCAATACGCATCGTTCAGCGGAACTACAGTCGCTAGGATTGGATACATGCTTTACAACTTTACAAAGTAAATCGAATACCGCCGTTGTTTGTTCCGGAGACACTAAGATAACCAAGTTAGATATATAATAATCATTCGTATTCCACTTGTATATTTGATAAAATAATAAATTTCGTTTACAATAATGATACTTACACAACAAACAACAATGATATCTTCTTAACACTCCTACAACATATAGACTTAAACTCGTAGTGTAGCTTCTAACGAGCTGACTATTTCTAAGTCCCAACTGTGTTTCAACTTCTGGTAACTCCTTTAATATTTGGATGCAAACATCTATCAGACCGTATATATTTAGTGCCAACTCCATTAAATCAAACAGAAATGCTACATGTTCCTGGACGGGCAAATAAGACGAACCGGCCAATGCAAATGTATTTAACATTTCTATAACTTGTGTCGCACATTGCCACGTCACTACATGTTGATCAAAATAACTGAGATTCTGAAACTTCAACGTTATCGCCTCAAAATTGAATTCGTTTCGAGAATGTTTCTTCACTTTGCCACCTTCTGCAACGTCAATACTAAATTTCTTTCCAAACAATTTACATACTTCTTTCGTCATTTTTTTAACAATATGTCTAGCATCGTCTCTAACACGACCTACTCCATAAAGTAATACATGTCGTTGATTACAATCGTGTTGACTGCATGTTTCATCCTAAAAATGTAATATAAAATTAAGTCTTTGATAATTATGACGAATATATTAAATTTTGTATAAAATTGTTTATGGAATATTAATTTACTTGTGGTAATGGGAAATGTCTTGTATATAATAAATGTCTACTATGACTTGATGGCATTTTGGAATCTAATCCTTCTTGAGTCCCATGCCCAGCTAGTGCATCTTCTTTAGGACTGTCGGGAGCATCCATGCTATTTTGTTGATCCTCTTTGATATGTTGTAATAACTTGTCCAAATCATCATCAATTTTACTGTCATCGTAATCCATCGTTCGTCCGTGATCTGATACTTCTAATTTTGTTGGTTTTAAATCTATTCCAGTGAACAGACTGTCTTCGTCGATCGGTTCTCGATTACTAGGAGTTCCAGGTTTGCTAGCTGCAGGACCTAAGCAAAATAATGAAATTTATATTTTTTATAATGAAAGACGGAAAAGTTTATTTTACCTTGTATAAGATCTCCTCTTGAGATGAGTGTACACATGTATGCATCATGTGAAAATACATCATGTCTAATTAATTCTGAAAATAAGTGAACCAAATTCGTAAACTGAATTTTTGACTGAGTTGTTGTATTATCTAGTACCGGGGCGTCCATGTCCAAAAATTTCATAAGTAATGATTGAAAAATTGGAAGCACTGGTGGATTTCCATTACTACAAATACTATCTTTATCATCATTCTCATTTGTTTCGCCAGTAACTTCACTCTGGCGTTTCTCCAGTAGCTTTGCAACTGCCATTGCTCTATGTTCTCCCCACCTTTCGGCGCTTACTGCCCATTCACATAAAATTTCAACCACCGCAGAATCTTGTTGTGGATTATACTCCGTTTTCGTATCTCGTTCGTTAGTATTATCTTTCGGAGGTGATGTAAATATTTTAGCGTATAAAGTATCTAACGAATTGGTAGAATCCATTCTATCAAAACTATGCCGATCTAGAGCATCTAAAGCAGCCAATACTTTAGTAGTTGTTATTCCAGCACTGCTTTGCTGCCACTTGTCGCATGACCATTTTCCTTCAGCAGCTTGAGATCTTGCTCGAATATTTTTTTGAGCGATTTTCAGTTGTTTTATTGTAGGATTAGTTATGCTCACAGGTGGACATGGTAAAGCTGTAGGAGGGCATGACAAATAATCTAAAGGAGACCCATTTAACACAGACGGAGCTTTTCCTTCACCAACGCTATTCCACACTAATGCAGTTGGACATTCTAACGTAATAACCTAACAAAAAATTACATCAAAACAATTATATCACAAAATTATAACAAAAAGTTTACATCGATTTAACAAAATTTTATTTTTAGATCACCATGTCCTATGTTAAATAAACATTTGGTAGAATAAAAATACATTTTGTTATGTTATTTAAAAAAGAATCAAAGTATCTTTTTCTAAAATCTAATTGATAATCAACAAGACTGACCATGAAATATAAAAGAGTTTCTTACCTGTATTATTGTTGATAAACTATAAATCACGTCTCTGTGATGTGGACAAGATAAATAGTCATTAAAAGCAGCAGTTAATGGATTTTGAATTTGGTTAGCATTGACAGTGTCTTTCCCACCATTAACATCATTTTTATTTATGGACGGACTTTGTGGATTGCCATTGGTTTCTATATTACTACACATATGTGCCAATTTGCGACAACACAAATATGCCAAACGTCTGGCTAATAATTCAGATTGCACAAATTCCTCTAAATATTGTAATGCTAATGGCAAAAGAAGCTTCAGAATACCATTTTCTGAAGGGGAAGATTTAATTTTGTCTAATAATTCTAAAATCCATTGTAATAACTCTTGTCTATCTAATAATCCTTCTTCAAACATATATTTTGCCAATTGTATACAATAATGCCATTGTTTTAATGCTAATTTATGCTCCTCGTTCATGTTTCCAGTTGTTGCTTGACTACTTGAATTCGGTGTAACTGGCTGATTATTAGCAACTCCATTATTATTATTATTATTATTACTATTGTTGTTGTTGTTGTTGTTGTTGCTGTTAGCATTATTATTAACATTATTGCTACTATTGTTATTATTATTATTCCCAGCATTATTCCCATTGCAAGAATTGTTCGAAATACTATTACTACTAGTACTACTTATAGTATGATTATTTATATGATAATATTCTTGCAGTTTGGTAAGTTGATCCTTCAAAAATTTTATAAGCGTTCCCGTCCATTCTAAACCAAGAAACAAAGAATAAGCATTTCATTCCATATCAACGTAAATCTAAAATATTTCAATTTCATCAATATCAAAGAAATGCTTTGTTTACCCGTAGTCGGATCAGGTAACTGCCTCTTTTTTATCTTGGCTTCTGAAACAGCCACTGTGTAAGCAGAGCTAAGCTTAATGAACCAAGCTGCTCTGAGCATCGGTACTTGATACTCGCACAGCATCATGAATATCTCTTCCTTCTTGTTGAAATTTGGTGCCTTCTTAGCTAGAGCTATTAGTGGCTTACACCCGGACAAGTCTTTAAACCATGCCTCGATGCCATTTTTCGTTCTGGCAGTCACTGGCCAGAAATTATCTTTTGGATTAATCTGTTGTCGTTTCCTTGCTGTGTCTGGCATTGTAGATAACTCTTCCTTTTTAGCTAGAATCGCGTTGAAATATGCCCCGACTTTGGCAGCTGTGACATTACAGTGTCTGGCGGTCCCAAATTCCTCCGACATCTGTGGCATTGTCGCAAAGCCGAGTTTAACATTCGTGGAAGTAAGTTCATCTTCCTTTTGTTTAGGTTCCTGCGGATACACGTCAGGCGGCCCTAATTTAGGCCGTTTTAGTGGCCTCTTCTCGTACAATATTCCCATCATGGTATAAGGAAGCGATCAAAATCGGTAAGCGGCCAACGGCATTGTTCAACTACGGAATAAGATGAAATCGGCTTCAAAGTCAGATTCTCATATTTAAAGCTACGTACAACATATAACCTTCATTAATGACATATTTACAATTGTTCAACGCTGTAAACGTAATGACAGAATCACCGCTTAGAATTCTAGATGGCGCGTCATTATTGAAATCACGAATCATGCGAATGTGTAGTTGCGCTCTGAACTACCGTATTTGAATTTTTTTTTTACGCACATTGACATGTATGGTATATCTTGATATTCGTGAAATGTAACACGTAAACAACGTTGCGTTTGAAGAATTGAACAATAAGAATATAGCGTACGATATTTCGATATTTATTCGAAATAATTAGAATTGCCCGTAAATCTAGCTGTTTTAGTTATTATTTCAAACTCTCTAATCGTACCAATCTGTTAGTATGTTAGTAGTGAAAAAATTACTAGGCATAAGTCTAAAATTAACGTTAGATGAATCTTAGATGGTAGTAAAATATTAATGTCAAACATTGTGTCGTTATATAGAATCATTAGAAATCTTTTTAATTGCTTCAAGTCAATAAAAATTATTCTAACATGCTGTTTCATTTTTTCTAAGATCTTGTGCTGCTGTTCTCTTAATCGAAATTCCTTTAAAATAGGTATTATTATCTTTTCCCACTTCGCTTATCTTTTTCTCATCTATTGTTTTGATACATTTTTTTGGAATCTAACTTAAAGTTGCGTAATTAAGGTGGTGCATGATATAAAAAAAAGTGAAAAGTCCTGAAAAAGTGAAAAACTTCTTATAAACAATGTTTGAGAATTTACTTGTTTCTATAAATATTTGGAATTTCTTTGTGTCGCGTTGATTTTTTGAAAACAGAGATTTTCATGAAAACATACTGTTTGGAAACGATATATTTGTATATTTGCAGTTCCTTTCTATTAAATTTGCAGTTCCTTTCTATCAAATTTGCTTATACCGCTAAGTCGGAATGAAAATAAAGTGATACAGTGAACTGAATAAAAACGTGTTCTTTAAACTTTAAACGCTAGTAGCGTACACACAATGAGAAGCTTTCGACGCAATTATAATATAATTAATCATTAGTTTATCATTTTCTAATTGCTGGATGGAGTAAGTGATGGATAGTATACATTGGAATATTACAATCTAATTTTTTCACAGAGCAACAAATATGGACAGTAATAACGATGAAATCATTTGTATTTCATCAGACGATGATGAAGATACAAGAAAGGTTTGTGCATCTTGCTATACTGAAATATGAACAGTTATGTTAATTATAAATATTAGTATAAATTCTGAATAGCTAATAGATATGATTTTCTTATGGTTAACAGGTATTATTTAAAAACAATACTGTTACCAAGCAAGAGCCAGTTATTAACCTATTGAAGGATAATTGCAATTCCCCATCTAATTCTCTATTAAGTAGCACAAAACTGGAAATTTCTTTGAATGATAATAAAAAAGTAAAAGGATGTGTACCTAAAAGAAAAGCATCTGAAATAATTGACGATGATGATTCTTACGTTGAAAGAAACTTTAAACTTGCGTGTAAACAAGGAGATAGTGTTAAAGCATATAATTTGAAGGAAGAAACAAAAAAGGAAGGAATGAAAGATAAAACATTGTTGAGACCAAAGTTGATTGTGAAAGAGAAGAGAACTATTTCTTCTGTGGAGCAGGATATATTCCCTATGTTTATTAGTTTATGTTTGCAGAAAGATCGTTCCGACGACATGAAAAAGATCGTTAATAAATTAAAAAGACGTTATGAACAGTTAGATCCTTCGTATGCTAATTCTGAAGCTTTCATTGATTTTTTAAATAAAAAAAGAAATGAAATAATGGAGAGTAATTGTAAACTTTACACATATATAAATGAAGTAATGAATGAAATGAAAAATAGCTCTAAAGGAAAGTGGACGTTATCATCAAATAGCAAAAGTTATTTTTCTGGTGGAAACAAATTAAATAAAAATAATAATTCAAATATATCTACTGCAATGTGTTCAAATATGTCACACACAAGTAATAGCATAATTAATGATAATGAAATAGCGTTAACTAATATAAATGATGAAGAAGAACAAGAAAAGGAACTTGCTGTACAAAAGAAAATTGGTAAAATACTAAAAGCAATGAAAAAGTGTGAGAAGATTATAAAAAAACTGGAAGAATTGGAAATAGATTTTGATGATGAAAATAATAGTAGTTATATCAAATTAGAAAAATATAAATATCGAATGGTGGAATTGTATAATAAATATTGTGAATACTCTGGTGAAAATACTGATGCAGGACGTCAATATCTACGACCAAAACATTTCAGTACAACTGGAATTGTTTCTGTAGATCATGCTATTACAAGTTTTATTAATTCTAAAATATTGAAAAGGAATAAATTGAAAAAAGTTGGTGATTTTACAAAAGCATTAATCTTTCCAGATTACAATGACATTTTAAAATGTGTTACAAAATGTGATGAATTGCATAATTTAGGTTTGACTGAAAGAACAAGACAAGATATTGGTAAGTTACTATAATGTTGCTAATAAACTGTTATGATTTAATGTTAAAATATTTAGTTTATTCTGTATGAAAGTTTTATTCTATATATGTACATATGTGTTAATTGTTATAGCAAAAAAAGCATTCACCGGTTTAGGAGAGTATCTGCAAAGGTGTCGACGCAATGATTATTGGGACACATTTTCCTTATTTCTTGAAGGTAAAGAAGATGATCCTGCATTGAAGGATACAGAATTAGCCGAAAAATTGATACAAAACAAGAAGACGGGTGAGACTAAATTGTTAAGTATATTTGAAGAGTATACAAAGAAGCAAGAACAAATGAAAGACATTAAAAGATCATTAATAGAAAATGAAGATGATGATGAGGATAGTGCAGAGAATAATGATGATGATGAAGAAGATGATAATGATAATAATGAGATTGATAATGATGTTAGTGACATTGATATAAATCTGGATACAGATAACAATAAAAGTAGTTCATCTGAAAATGAAAATAGTATAGATGAGATTGAAATAGTTAAAAATAAAACAAATATAAGAGCCAAGTCTACAGAAAAAGCTCATTCTGATATAGAAATGGGAGAAATATGTCAACAGAATATTAGTGATAGATTAAGAGGTTATGAATATGATAACTTAACATCAGAGAAAGTTAGCAATGTGAATACATCCAATTGTAAAAATAATTTTAAATTAAAGCCAATGATAGAAAGTGACACAATATCAGCGCCAGATCTAGTGAAACATTTAAATACCACATCTAATATATCACTATCAATTACAGCAAATAATAAAATCATTATTGATAAAACAAAAGGTCAGTTTATAAATGAATTGAATTACTTATTAAAGCATGAATAAAAATATTTAAATTTTGTTGTGTATGTGTTGTAGAAAATGATCCTAATACAGTAAGTGAAGATTTAATGGATGAAAAGTCATTAGAAGATAAGGAAGAAGATACAGAAGAAAAGCCATTGTTACGAGTACGCTCTTTTGCCAAACCTCCAATCACATGGAAAGATGGACAAGAAAAGATAGACGAGTGTAATAAAAATGAAAATACAGTAAAGATATCAACCACTAAGGATACCGTAGACCTTACAGAAGATATTACACAAGAAAATTCGGTTCGTCAACGTGCAACTATTCAGGTAATTCCTCTAGTAAAAGGTAGCTGTAAAACATTTGTAATACCAACAGGTAAAAGTATAATTAATGTAAAAAATATTACAAATACTTATGTGAGCTTCAATCCGAAGAATACAGAGTCAAATGCAATTAAATTAGGAAGCAGTCAGATCATTTCTCCGTTACGAGTAATAGATAAAAATACAAAATTTATTGCTATAAATAATATATCATCGAATTTACCCGCTAATCAGGGAACAAATACTAATACAAATACAAAATTCAGAAACGAAACAAATACTAATCAAATACAAAATTCAGAAACGAAACAAAAAAGCACAAATTCTGTGCTTCAATCTAATCAAATGGTAGTATTACCCATGAAACAAAAGGAAAATACGTCGCAATCTCCAAAGACGAATTCATCATCGTCAGAATCTAAATGACTAGTTAAAGCAATTCGACGTGATCACTGTTATGCAAAATTAACAAATGACAGGTGACAAATAGATTACATTAAATAAACGTAATAATTTTTTTACGAACGATTTGTAATTAGCAACATTGTATCGGTATATTGATATATGATATTAAATAAATTTTTTACGAATATTAAGATATGTACAATTTTTATATGTTAAATGTTATAAATTTATTTCATTACATTAAAGTTGTATGTTATTACTTATCTTTTACAAATTATTCTTTTTTATTCGCAGAAGATATTATTTAGTATTATTTTCGTTAAGATAAATTCTTCATTTGTAAGTTTTTCCACGATATCGAAATGGTCAATATTTTCTCGAAGAAATACATAATGAACATTATCTACCATTGTAATGAGTTGCTAGAATGAAAATTATAATTGATTATTTATAAGGGAAAGAATGTAAAATATTTAAAATTGGTGAAAATTGCTTAACTTATTTATTTAAAATAATACGAGTACCTGAGCACACTCGCGTGATTCAGTGATGAGTCCTGGCGAATCACATTCTCCAACAGTTACAATAATTCTCAACCCTTGGATAGGTATGTTATTTTTGGTATCAAGAGTAGTAAAGCTATATGATTTGATTTCATCTCTAAAATATGCATATTGCGCATTACATATTATGACCTTAAGTAAATAATTTGCACAAGTACTCAGATATTTACTTTGAAAATTTCAAAGGTGTAACAATATTTGTATCGAGTAAAGGATTCAAATTATAAACGCCTCCTATTAACACAATGCCTTTTAATAGATTTAAGTATTTTCTTTTCATCATTTTATCTAGCCATAATGAATCATATAAAATGCTTGAGGCTAAATGTGCACCAGCGCTATGACCAGAGATCCAAACATTCCTATAAGAATCCATCTAATCTTATTGTTGTATTATAAATTAAAATTGTCATATAAATATTAATTATGTTCGTCATACCGACATTCGAGTCCCGAAGCATACTTTAATATATGTTCAATTGCTATTTTTATTTGCGATATTATATCCCCAAATTTGACTAAAATGCAATGTTAATATTAATTAAAATATTTTTAGAATATTCTTTTTTTTTGTGTTTAAACTATAAACACAAATATAACACTGTAATAGAAATATAACGTACCATTAGGACACAAATCATAGCCAATGGTTATAACTTTAATTCCTTTATTAACAAAAACAGGAGCTGCAAATGCAGCCAAGTCCTTGCTACCTTCTTGCCAATAACCACCGTGAATGAATATAAATATGGGGGAATCTGAAAAAAACATATTTATATTGTTTAAAATATAAACTTAATCGTAAATGAAACATTTAACAAAATTAATTATTTATACTGCAATAAATTTAAATAGTACGAAGATTCAAAATACACCAGATTTAACACATTTAAAGTGCATTAGATTTTTGTATATGTACTTTTAGGTAAATCAGTTCCATATATATCATATTTGGTTCGTTCTGTTGTTCCGTATGGAATATTTAATTCGCATTTTAAATTTTTGCGAGCATCATCGGCAACTGTAATGATAAATTATTATTTATAAAGAAAGATATCTATTCATTTTTCATTGTGAAATAATTTAATTCAATTTCAACTTACTATTTTTAGCGAATTTATAGTAGTGCGATAATAATTGCATATTGTTACGATTAAATCTCTTGCTCCATTTGCTGGGAGTATACAGCATTTCCTGTTCCTGAAGCCAAAGAAGCCAATTCCGAAGAAATGAATAAATAACAATGAGAATTCATTGAAAATTCATTAATTACCGAAATAGACATTTTTGAGCTTCACTTATACACACACACACTAACTTTGAACAGGAAAAATTCAGCTTAATAATAACTATGTTTTTATTAATTATCACGTTTTCGAATCTTTGATAAAATTTATGATATTGGGAAACTGATAATGGGTTTCAGTTAGAAGTATACGATTTATCAGTTTATAATCGATTGTTGTGATATGAAACGTTCTCTCGGTTAATGAAAGTTATTTGTTCCTTCATTGAAACTATGATATTAAATATCGTGCTGTCTCTTGTAGATTGCGCCACTGCTTACATGCGCATGATTGCAAGAGTTGCAACAGATCAGAATAATCTATCCTCATTATCGATAATGCGTACTTTTATTTCTTAGGAACGAATAATATGATAAATTTAAGTTGATTTTTTAATATTATTTATAGAACTTTAGATGACTCAAATAACTTAAAAATAATTGAGTCTTCTGTCAATATAGAAATTGACATTTATATAATTTTATTTATGATAGTTATGATAGGCACAATAAATTACTAATTTCTCTATTTACGTTTCATGTCACATACGCGAACATATTTTAATTTTATTCATAAGTTCACATCATAATCATTAATAAAGAATATTTATTAAATGTACTGGAAAAAATTGTTTTTTCTTTTATGTAAAAATTCCAGATATGAGTATTTCCAAAAGAAATTTTATTTATTGTATTTCAAATTATATAATGTTTATCTTATTAATTATATTTTTAAAAACTTATTAAATATATGTATATATATTTCAATTTCTTAATTCATCTTAATTCATCAATCAAGGAAAAATAAATAATATGATTAATATCAAAAGAGGTAAATTTTTTTCTCTCGAATGCAAGAAAGTTTTAGGATAATCCGATGTACCCTATATCTCTCGAATAAAGTAAAAGTGAATAAGTTAAATTATGTTTAGCAAAAGGAGCGCGTAATATAGTATGTGTGTGTGTGCGCGCGCGCGTGTGTTGTGTATATGTAAACGCGTGCAAACATATATACACTTTACACATACATATCCTACAGTATGTTCACGATGAAGGTAGCAAGAATAGGGTACGAGGGTCGAAGATATTGAAAACCAGAAAAACCGGTCCCTTCCTTTTGACCCCACTCTTCCGTAACGCGCGCCATTCTCCACGGAGAAGTCACAGGTAGGTCCGTAGCAGCTGATGTATCGAGTATCGTGCCACGTCGACGCCTACCCACAGACCACAGGTAAGACAAACCTTTTCCAGTCAAAAATCCGTCGGTTCAACGGATATTTCATTCGAGAGAGCTGAGTAATGCACAATAAAATGCAAGCAACGGTATAATCCATACCAATGACGCATGATCATCGCACCTTTATATTTTTGAATCACTATTCAATCTACGCATACATATATTTACATAATTCTCACTAGCAGTAAACTTATTTTTATAAATAAAAGATACTACTTATAAAACAAAGTTTAATTTGAAACTATTTGAAGAAGTAATATTTGACATGTTTGTATTGAGTTATCAATGAAAAGAGAAAAAGATAAGATTGGTAATTTGATACCTGATTTATATAGAAATAAAATATTTTGCCAATTTCTTAAGAAGGAGCATCTTCATATTTGCCTTGATGGCTCCTCTCAGTTTACACTGTCTTGCAACCGGTTCTCGTGTGCATACTGGGTTAATTTATTTGACCCACCGACTACGCTCGCTTCCAATTAGTTTTCAGGGTATTAAGTAGGTATCCTTCTATACCACGTTGCCTTCACTGGAATTCAGGATCAGCCTGCGACTATTAATAGTAACGATTCCGGAGCCCGTTCGCGAACTAGACATTATATATGATCATTCTGAATTGAGTGGGTGTGAAACATATCGCTGAAGATGATCATAAACGTTCTTACGCGTTCCTCCATTTCATGTAACTTCTTAACATTCTTAACTCTTTCTAAGTTTTTTCGAATAGTCAAGATTTACTTGCTTAACGGTTTCTCAAGAGAAAGTATGGTCAGATTTATACTTATGATTACAAGAGACTGAAAAGGAACGGTTAAGAGCTTTACCTTCAGACTTAAGATAAGGAAATGAACGTTCCCAGTAAGAATATTTTGACTTGCAATCTATATATATATATATCTGAGATATTCCTATTCTTATTCGGTATTTATTTTATCCAATTGCTTCAAGATGCAATAATTCTGTAAATAAAGATCTATGAGATAAATGTATTTCTTGTAAGAAGTTAACGAATAAGTGTACATGTTAGTCAATGTTTTGACTAATTTAAATGAAGAGTGAGATATTTTTTATAAGGTATAAAACAGCGAAATATATTATTTAATTATAAAAACAAATCTGTAACTGTAAAAAAAAAATACCCGATCCTGCCAGGATTCGAACCTGGAATCTTCTGATCCGTAGTCAGACGCGTTATCCGTTGCGCCACAGGACCGACCTTGATTACGGCTTTTATATACAACTATAAATATGGGTTTATATATTATTAAATTGTATTTATATTTATATGATTTTACTCAAATAAAGTAAATCTGATAAAATCTTGAAAGAAAAATCTTTAATTGTAATTATACCTTTATCTAGTACCATATATAACAACTATATAACATAACGATATGTAACCATTTATTAACGCTTAAGGGGTATAAATTAATTTTATGTACTTCCCAATGTTCTGAATTCAGAGCTTTCTTTCCAGGAGTGCTAATGATGATGCGGATTACTCCGTGACAATCAAACATAATAGAGATACAATTACGTTACTGGAGACACCATCAGCTGTAGATAAGAATATGATATAGCAAAATCAATTTATAGAAAAAGTTCGCTGGAATGCAATATCAGAGAATTTTTTTATTGATAAAATAAAACTAAAATAGATAATGTAATACGTAATAAAATAATTATGATAAATATAATAATAAATGTAATACGTCCAGCGTTGTAGATGTTTTTGATAAAAAGAATATAATTTATGTGTATGTGTATGTAATACAAACGTATCATATTCATCACTTGCATAATTAATACATGATTAATTACAGATGATCTGCTGATTTCATGTCGATTTGATATTAAAGTAGCTTCTGTTTATCTGTATTAAGTAATCTGTGGATTAAAAGAACGTGATTATTTATTAGGGATAATTGCTGTTCATTACAGTATCAGTCTAAAATGGTGTAAAATTTCAGATGCGAAATGATATGTTAAGCATGGTATTTGTAATACGAAACGCGTGATACATGTGATACAACTTCTTCTGATTACTTCTTTCGAGCTTTTCTTAATAACTCTTAATAACTTAATTAAGATCATCGCATATTTCACTCGTGAAAATTTTAATATATGATTTTATTACAAAATATTTTCATTTCAAATATTTTTGTACAGTCAATGAACCAATGAAAGTTGAGCTATATAAAAACCATATCAATAATTTTTGAATGATTAATGAGCACGATGTCAATGATGTAAGATACACAAAAAGATAAGTAATATTATTACTGATAAAGCAGAAAACTGTAGTTATCAATTCTTATTCAATGATTGTTTAATCTGAAAAGCGTATACTTATCTTTTAAAAACTTCCTTCACAAAGTTGTGGTTGAGTATTCTAACTTCAGACAAAAGAATCGAGATAAACGGGAGAAACTACGTTTATTAGAAGTGTAAATATTCGTAGTTACGTGTGTTGTTTTAAGCAAATATTTCGTGACTCTTTCCCTTGAATTTGAACAAGATTATACAGGCAAATGCACGTAATTCGCTTTCTGCACTACGCATGCGTGAACGCGTCTGAAAATTTTGCTGAAACCGATGTTAACCGAGCGTGATCGAACTTAAACGAATGGCGACCCTAAGTTTTCTGTGACCGGGCCGGTGCGACGGTTGAAAGAGACGGAAAGTGGGGTTAGATTGAAGTAAAGAGACGAGAGAAAGAGAGACAGAGAGAGAGAAAGATAGAAAGACAGACAGAACTAAGACAGGGAGACACAAGATAGAAAGAGAGACGAGCGTCCACAAGTGGGGATAGAATCTTGGTGTGCAGCAGAAGTAAACGTACCTATAGTATCGCATCCCCAACCAGACTGTGTACAATCGGCAAGCGAGACGGAGACAAGACGTTGTACAGTGTATGTAAGAGAGAAAAAACGAGCCGACGAAGAAGAAGGTAGATAGAGAGGAAAGCCAAAAGGGAGCAGCTTGTGGAACGGCATGTCCTCGCGTGCTCGTGTCGTAGAGCGTTTCTGAACGCAGCCATTACGACACAACCGCTCTCGGTGACGCTTAGCTACGGTAGAGCCGTGCTCACGCGCGTAGTGGTCACGGAACGATCGGAACGGGATACACGTGTTCTCGGAGATTCGAGCAAAATCTCGGTAAATTATTATAATAACGAAATTTATTTTAGTGATTAAATATCGGTAAACGATATTGTGATAAGCGAATTTTTTTTTTGAAAGCTTTGTTTGTTTTGTGCGTGTACAGGGAAGCCTACGGGACGCCTTTTGACGCACGGCGTCACGTCACGCGGATCGACAACCCGTCTGGCTCGATTTCTCTTTTGTGGTACCAATCCGAACGGAGAAAAAAAATAACTAACCATGTTTGACGTATTCGGCTCTGTAAAAGGATTGCTCAAGCTCGACAGCGTTTGCATCGATAACAATGTCTTCCGACTGCATTATAAAGCTACGGTGATCATATTAATTGCTTTCTCGTTACTCGTCACCTCCAGGCAATATATAGGAGATCCCATAGACTGTATCGTGGACGAAATACCGCTTCACGTTATGGATACTTACTGTTGGATCTATTCGACGTTCACGATCCCCGATCGAACCGGCGTTGTCGGCAAGGACATAGTACAGCCAGGTGTTGCATCCCACGTTGACGGCGAGGACGAAATCAAATACCACAAGTATTATCAGTGGGTGTGTTTCACGCTATTCTTCCAGGCGATACTGTTTTACGTACCGCGTTACCTATGGAAGACATGGGAAGGCGGCCGAATCAAGATGCTGGTTCTCGACTTGAACTGCCCTGTGATGAGCGATGAATGTAAATTGGAAAGAAGAAAGTTGTTGGTCGACTATTTCGCGTTGAACTGGCATACGCAGAATTTTTATGCATTCCGTTTTTTCCTCTGCGAAGTGCTGAACTTCGTCAATGTGGTCGGTCAAATCTACTTCATGGATTTCTTCCTGGACGGCGAGTTCACCACCTACGGTTCGGACGTGGTGAAATTTACAGAAATGGAGCCCGAGGAGAGGATCGATCCAATGTCACGGGTATTCCCAAAGGTAACCAAGTGTACCTTCCACAAATATGGTGCATCTGGCACGGTGCAGAAATTCGACGGTCTCTGCGTGCTACCATTGAACATCGTCAACGAGAAGATATACGTGTTCCTGTGGTTCTGGTTCATCATCCTCTCGGTGTTGAGCGGTTTGACCCTGGCTTACCGTGCCGCGGTGGTAGCCGGGCCGAGGCTTCGCTTGGTGCTGTTGCGTGCCCGCTCGCGCCTCTCCAAGCCAGAGCATATCGAGGCGATCGCGGAGATGTGCCAGATCGGCGACTGGTTCGTTCTTTATCAGCTCGGCAAGAACATAGATCCAGTGGTGTACCAGCAACTTGTTATTGATCTTGCGACGAAACTACAGGGCAAAGAATCTGTCTAGTTTCTTTTCACGTCTAGAATTCCTCTTTTTCTTTTCTTTTCCCCCGCTTCTTCGTTTTTACCGTTCGGATTCACCAACATCTGATCAATCGAGTCTGATCATCGTGTATTTTCATTGCACAGTTTATTCGAAGATCGAGGGCCACCTTCAATTACTTTAATAGTTTTTCGTATCTATAACATACATGTAGAACGTGCATTCCAACAATTTTGATTAAATTTTCTGTAATTCATTGGCGTACGTGTAAAGTGAGGTAACACATATACCTTTCGATCGTTATTTGAAAAGTCTCGATCGGAGGTAAGTTTTGCGTAGTATGACATATCAAATGAGGCGAATGGAGAAATTAATCATTTTTTTTTTCTTGTTTTCTCTCTCTCTCCCCCTTCCTCCTTTTTCTTTTGTTTCTTTTTTTTTCTTTTTTTTAGTTAAACTATACATCCATTTTTATTTGCTATAATACATGAGTATATGTATACTTGCGAGTATCTATTGATAGTTTCTATTGATAATTGGGTACATGTTCGACTCTATTCATTCCCTGCTCATATTATTTCCTCGAATTCTCTGACTTCGATACCATCTATGGATCATTGTTTCCTTTATATACATATGTTTCTTTAGTACTACATATTTTTTGTAATTAAATCCAGTTTAAATGATATATACAAGGAACTACCTACATGTCAAAAATTGCGCCATGATGAATTCCGAAATATTGTTATACGATATTATAAGAAATAAGACGAGCATGTTACATTTACTTTTATTTTTCTAACGTTTTCACTCGCAAAAATAATGTTTCCCATTTGCTCGATCGATATTGCTCGATAAATCTGTAAACATTGCCAACAAAAGTATGACGATAGAATATATATATATGTGTGTATGTGTGTGTATACTCATATATATGCAAGATAGAAGGAGAAAGAGCTTAGTATTAAATTGCTCCAAGAAATGGAGGCTTCATAGAGAGAGACTTTGATTGTGTGATATAAAATGGGGGACGACACGACGTTTTCATTTTTCCTGCCGCTCTCCTCTCTTCCCATTTTTTCCCATCTCATCTTTATTTTTCGTCTTTTTTTTTTTTTTTTTTTTTTTTTTAAAAAAAAGGTTTTTTTTTTTTTTTTTTTTTATGATGGCTGAGCGATAAAGTTTATTTCTTTCCGAGTTGAAAAACGTTATTGCG